AGATGTGTATAAATCAATTGATTAGTATTAAGCACTCTGCCTTGACGATCTTAATACTTGTGTGTATATAGGCCCTATATATAGCCCTATATATATATATATATATAATATATATATATATATGGTATGTATGTATATGTATAAATCCTTATTGTAACAAGCAAAGTTTACCATGAATTCCGAATCTGTACACTGATATAGCGCCCCCTATAAGAGCCGCATGGTATACTTTTCAGACCGTACATTATAATAAAAAAAATTATTGCGCCGCTTTGATAACGGTTTACAAGTTTTTAGTTGAAAAAGAAATGATAGCTAGCGATATACATCATTATCATCAACATGATATAATTACTATGTAAAGAAAACTTTCTCAATGATTATAGTATAGAATAGCTTAAAATATTATCATTATATATTATTATTATTATTATATGTTTCGCCACAGACCCTATAGGGTCTGTGGTTTCGCTAAACGATTGGCCTATAATAAGTCATCGTAATAATTATACTGTAGTGCCTAATACCTAAAACCCAATAACAGTGTTGAGCATTAAACCAATGCTAATTCTTTTTCTTTACATAAACTCTCTGGTAATACAATTTACTAACTGTTTTGCTGACACGCTTATTGTACCCTTGTTTGTACTTCTTGTTAATGTTGATAATACCAGCACCTTACCATCATATTTTATTACATAGGCCTATTGCATCCAATGTGATCTAATCAGAGACGCAGATTGGCTTTCTGCTCAGTCGATGGTCCTAATTTTACACCGGAAGCTCCCATAATTTAGGCATTATGAAGACTTTCTATGTATTTTCGGGGGTGGGTGGGGTGGGTTGGGGAATTAAGGTCTCTCAGCTTTCACCTCATCACCTCAACCATAGTAGGCCCGGCGCCTTTATGCCTCCTTATTTCTAAGAAAAATTGGCTTAGGGCTATAATCCATCGTCATCGTCATCATCATTATTATCATCATCATCTCCATTATCATGGTTTAGTCTAAGTCGTCATCAGCAGCATCTTCGTCGTCTTCATAATTATCATCATATCGTATTTAGGATTCATTACTTAAAAATAGAACATCATCATCTTCATTATCTCATCAGGCATCACCGACATCATCAATCGTCACCATCATCATTTAATTTAGAATTCATGACCTACATTTACTTTAGATTTAAAAATAACATAAGACTGGACAAAACGTACACATTTACACTAATATTTGATCGTTTTCTAAAACCAGTCAGAATGGCCTCCATGCCACAGGGATAGGCTAGGCCTGTTACAACTCACATTTTAAACGATTAATCCAATATGTAGGACCTATTATTGTTTAACCTTAGATTTATCAGTGGATTTTTTGGTTTTGGACCCCGTTTTGGACTCTATTAATTTATATTTTGAGGTCATTTTAAGTGCCATATCCTTGTATCGAAAATGGAGGAGAAAACAAACTGAAACGTGACAGTCATCATTCCATCGACTCATATGTTTGCAACTAAATTAGTCATTTTGATGCATTCATGATTTTACTAAGCGGAGCCGCGATTAAACGGATAAATGGTAATAACTCGGTGTAGAATTCACCATTGAAAATTTTAAATAACCTCTTTATTTACGAGCATACAGGAAATGCATGGGATTAGCTAACATCATCACTACTATTGTATAAAGAGTCTACATTTATATTCGTATAGTCCACAGCGATATGAAAAGGTTTATTTTTTACGGCTGATTGACACGCCAATCACGCTGCGTGATTCATTCAAGTTGTTTACAATATTCTACACAACCCGCCGGCGACGAGAGAACGATGCATGACGGGACCATTCCAAGCCAGTTGGGCTAAAGATGGAAGATGTCGCGAAAACGGCGAAAACGGCGCTGCAGTGCTCGTTAAAGATACGCCAGGGAAGAAAGGTAACTATTGGAAATTACTTTTAAATTGATTTGGAGGTACATGAGGTACTGATGATTATAACTGGGCGGTTTTTTTTTTCTTCCAGTGGAAAAGTCGTCGGTGTATTTTGTCGAAACGAAGCCCTATCGCCGGTGAGTATTTGCTTATCGTTCACATCTTTTTAAGTACGGGCTTCGTGTGGTGATTGAGTCCAGTCAACCGTTAAGTGTTGTTTTTTAGCCTGGCTTTTCATACCCTTTGCCCACCAAGAACGTAAACAACCTATTCATTCAAACTAACTACAAAGACTCTTTTCGCAATGCATGCTTTCTTTTGTTCAAGATTAGACCAGTATTTGGGCTTCTTTTGCCTCTGCCCAGTGAGGCTGGTCTAGTCAGCAACAAATTTTGCATTTTATCTGCAAAAACACTTTTCCTCTTCGTTCATTGTTTACTCGGAGAATATTTATTGGAGTTGATGCAGGAGGAAGCTAGTGTATTTTCTTTTCCCTCGGTGTTTTCGGCAAAGATTTAAAAAAAAAAAAAAGGGGGGGGGGCGGATACGAATTTACTTAAAAAAAATCTTTGAAACCATCATGTTTTTAACAACTCTTAGCATCACAAATATATTTGTATGTTTTTGCTAACAATGGATTAATATGCATCAGGGTGAAAATAACAATGAATTATGAATTTTATCCAACTTTTATTCTGGTGGAACAGTCATTGCCAGACAGTTGGCAAAGAAATAACTAGGCCTAAAAGAACACAGGGTACAGTTTGATACAAATTCCTGTATAATTTGTTTGTTATGTAGTTAATTACTCCAGACAGCAATTAATTTGTCAAGCTGTGTTGATGTTTTTGACTGTAGCTAGCTGCTGTAGCCTATATTGTAATACTATTACTAGTCATCTGGTGTTGATCGTGTCTATCTCTCTTTTGTTGTTCACAGTCTTCAACATACTCTTTATTAGATTAACTTTTGCAGGTGGTATTGATCAGACAAATTCTGGGCCCAGATTCAAATTGATTTTTTTTGTCTTTTAAGTATGAAGTCTTTCCTTACATATCTTTGTTGTGACCATGATTTAAAATACATATATTTAAAAGCTCCAATAGGTTTCTATTACTGTACCACTTTAACACAAAGCTTTGGCGACATTAGTTACAAATACGATGCAATAAAGACTAAATCAATTTAACCTACATTGAAATTTAATCGGTTCACTCTTCATAAATGACAATATTTAATGATGACTAATATTTACTGAAAGGATATTTGATAATCCAAACAAAAAACAACAATTCAAAAGAAACACTTAATTATATCATTTTTGTTACAATTTCCCATAGTTCTTCTTTGCCAACCCTAATATGTGAGGGTGTGTTTTACAGTAGTTGCACAATGTAATTGCATTGGGCAAGATTTTACCTGCGATATACCACAGGCTTTCGTAGTCTAGGGGCGTGGTGCTTGTTTTAATCGTAAGTTTCTTAATTCATTAATGATAAACTTCAGCATACAAAATTCCTACCCTCATAAACAGGATTTTTAGTGGGCTAAATTAATTAATTCCTAATTGCTCATTAACCAGTAATAGAGTTACAAAAATTATCTTATGATGAAGTACCAATACTTAGTAGCTCAGTGTTTCCTAATAATATGTAATAATTGTGTCCTTCAATTCAATTCAATTATTTATGAGCCATCGCTGGTTATTTGCCTTAATTACTGTACAGAGTTAAAGAATTAAAAAAAAATTATTTATTGACAATAATTCAAGATAATATATACTTTTAATTTGGTATATTTTAGAAACAGTAGTTCCCTTGTACAATACCTTGTACCAACTTTATTATGCCCTAATGAAAAACAAATACTTGGATTTCAATTAGGAGATACACCCCCTGTAGACTTAACTCAGATAAAACTGTTGTAAGGCTTATAGCTTAAACTGCAAACAACAACAAAATCTATTAATATAATCCTAACAAACATTAGAAATAGTAATGGTTTATCGAACCGCTCGTCTACAGTATTTTCTCCCAATTACAAAAGTGCTGTTTTCACATCATTTCATGTTCTGCCGCACTTTTGAAGAATAAGCGAGCAATTAGTCGTTTGATCGTTTACATGTTGTTTTCGCTGTTTCTGTGATTAACGTCAGAATGCTGGAAATAGGACAACACAGCTATTTATAAACATCCAAATGAATGCGATCAATTTAATTCTAAAGCTATAGGCGTACTAGAAAAGGTAAAGATATTGGTACTGTGTGTATATATACTGTATAACCTTTTAAAAGAGTTCATATTTTTTAAGATTCAGTTTTGATATATGTAGGCTACAGTTAGTATGTTGTTTTGGACGTAGCTGTATTGTACTTATTGGTAAAATTTTATAGTGTTTATATAAACTTTTAAAAAAGCATTGCATATTTTTTAAAGTTCTTTATAAGATTAGCCATTTCGGAAAACATCTTAAGAATGACCCGTATAATTTAAGATTTGTAAATTTACATTTTTATCAATGAAGAGAATAGAAGGCAGTGATAGGAAATGATAACCTTAATTAATTAAAATAATGGAACATTTGACAAATGTTTCATAGCAAATTTTAGAGCTTAAAAATTCAACTTTGAGTCTGAGCAAATAAACAAATTTATATAAGAATGAATCCAAGTATAAAATATGAAGTGCAACATCTTTATTATTAAAAAATATTGTTCATGATGTAAGTAAAAAGTATTTCATGATATGAAATTATATATAAATTATCTTAGATATGACCAGGAAAAAATTGTTATGAAATTAAATTTAGAGTTAGAATTCATAATATTATTTTTTGTTATTTAATGAGAGATGTTGTTGATCAAACAAGTTGATCATAAGGACCCATCTACCAGCTGCACTTTCCACAATAAATCAACAAAAAGCTGATAATGATATTAACAAACTCATAGTTTACTAATTTATTAAATCATTTCTATAGTAAACTTTTGGTTTTTCATAACTTATTTAAAATTTTATAACATTTTCTGTTCATTTTTATAATTAATAATTTACCCATACAATATTCTTGTCATGATATTGAATAAAGATATTCTAAATACATATTTGATAAAAATTAGTAAACTTTATTCATAAGAAAATGTTGAAAGTTTAGCTGCAGAATTTAAAACTAAGAAACCTATGAGCCGTGGCATCTTAGCCCAATAAAAAATATTAGTTTATCACCCTCGCGCACGTCTGCTATGCTACTGTAAAAAAAATATTTTTGAAGAATTTTTTTCTAAATTATTTTTTTCATTTTTTTTTTTAGTAGATAGTTATAATAGATATTGATAATTGTTTGTATTATATGAATAATGTTTTACAAACCACCCAAGGATGATATTTGGCTTTAGCAAAAAAAAAAAAAAGAAAAAAAGAAACCCCTCCATCCCTCATCAATTTTCCAGCATAGTTAGAGTGGTAAACTAATAATATTTTGTATAGTATAAGCTTTGGATGGATTATCAAATTTTCTTTAACAAAAAACTTGTTCTTGCAAATTGCTGTGTTAGGCGAAACTTTTTTTGTACTTTGTGAACTTATTTTTTTAAAGATTATAAGAGGAAGGTGGAAAAAAAAAAATAAAATTTTGTTTTCTTATTTAGCAAATATTTTTGCCAAAAATATGCAGATGGAGGAGAAAATAAAAATAAAATTTTATTGGTGAATATAACAGTGATAGTAATGGGATGGTTGAATGCTTTAAATTTATATAATTGAACTTGAGTGTTGGAATATAAGGAAATGTAAAAATCAATAGTGATATTGCACCTCCCTAAAACTAGAGACCATTACGCTCATTAATTTAATTTTATTTAATTATTTTTTATGTTATTGTTACTTTTATTGTTATTCATTTATTCCAACAATGTTTTGTGAGTTCAAGGCAGCAGCGAGCATAATAAAAATAAAGGAAAACATAATTTTTTTCTGAAATTTCTATTTCTTTGTGGCAGCAGGTGCGCTAATTGGCCAAAAATAAAATTAAAATTTTTATTCAAAATCATCATTATTTGCGGACGGCTGGTTCGCCAAACAGGGTTTAAAATATTAAAAAAGTCCCACCTTAACTGGATAATACAAGAGTTTTCAAGTCTCCTATCACATTCTTAGAATCAGTGATTTTTCTTAATCACTTTGAAAACATATAGTAATTAATTAGCCTTTAAAACATATGATTTTAGTATAGTTAATGGGTAATATAATATGTAAAACCTAATTAAATAAATATGTCATTAATTTATTAGGTATAAAACACTCAAAATGCAAGAAAAGTTGGAAAAATTTTGAGTTTACATACTAAGTGAAGCTGTAGGTTTGTGGTTGCGAAGCTTACTTTAACTTTTAGTCCCAGGTTTCCTGGTTCAATTCCTTCTGGGTGACAGAACCTTGTAATAGGTTAACATTTGAGAGGTAATGATCCTGCTTCTTATGCTGAAGATCCTGGTTCAAATCCGGTAGCGCCGGAATTTAATCAGAATCTATCACTCAACTCCTTGAATAACCCTTGCATCAGAGTTGGGCAAGGTAGGGAACATGTGGTACTGGTACCTCACTATGACCACCGCAGGTTCCCAAGGGCCCAGCCAAGATGTCTAATTCTAAATATGAGCTGTCTCTTATACACATCTAGATGTGTATAAGAGACAGACATCTTAAGAATGACCCGTATAATTTAAGATTTGTAAATTTACATTTTTATCAATGAAGAGAATAGAAGGCAGTGATAGGAAATGATAACCTCCCAAATGCATAATTATTGAGTATATTGAGAGAAAATTTCCCTCTTTTTATGATACATTAAAATATAGTGCAATTAGACAGCATCAATGCGACTACTCAGGGTCGCAAGTTACTTGCTATGTGATCACAAGTCCCCAAGGAGTTATTTGAGATTGCTAACAAGCCTTCTGCTTGTAAACAAGTCAAGTTGCTGCTAAGAATTATTTGTTGAGTTAACATTGTAAGGCTCTTACTGAAAGCCCATGGACGTAGGCTGGGGATTGCTGGGGTGCGGACACATGGTAGCAAATTAGTTCCACTAAAGTGAGTTAAAATACTAGAAGTGACCATAATAAGTTTTCATTGGAATTAGT